TCTGCATTCAGACCTCAACACCAAAAACAAAAAAATAAACCTCCCCTAGAAATTTGTTTTATGAGTAGTTAAACATGGAAAAAGAAACAGAGGCGAAGAATATCCAGTTGGATACTAGTGGTCCGAGTTAATTGTACGCATACTTAAAGGGCACATTCCAGTGGTATTTACTCACTGTTCTAGTCTCTCAGCTACCATATCCAGCACCTACAACATAAATATGAAGAGCTCACGTTTCGTAGTGATTTCCATCCTTCCATGGTCAGCAGAACAACACAGTATCCTGATGCTGAGAAAATCTGCTGAAGTCAAGGTGGCCAGAAAGAAGAATGAGATCAAGGAGGGATCCAGAGCAGTATATACCTTCTAGGTCATGCCTGCAGTGACTCACCTCTTCTGACCAGACACTATCACCACCAGCAAGGTATGTTCCTCATAGTTTTAACAAAAGACCAGGGACCCATACAACAGCCAGTGGAGTACCTGAGTCAGAAGCTAGACATTGTGGCCAAAAGATTGCTTGTCTCGGGGTTGTGGAAGCAGTGGCTCTTTTGGTGGCAAGAGCTCTTAAATTACCTATGGAACAGGACGTTACTATGTTTACTCTTTATAATGTGACTGGGCTCTTGTAAGCTAAGGGAATTTTATGGTTAGCCAACAGCTGACTTCCCAGGCCAGATCCTCTTTTAAATGGAACAACTGTTCAGACACAAACTGCTCCTTCTTAAACCCCACAGCGTTTTGTTGCCAAACATATTCTCCACACCTGTGATGCAAGAGAGGACCTGTTAGATTCTCCTGCTGTAGATCCTGACTTCACTCTTACATGACACAGCTTATCTATACACAGTGGAGTCAGGTAGGTGAGATATGCTGTGATAACTCTACAATACACGCTCAAAAGCTCCTTGTTTACCCCTGAAAAGAGTGCTTAGGAAGCAAAAAGTAGCCCTTAATGAGAGCTTCACAGCTCAGCAAAGGACAGAGAATTAACATTTATACTGTTCCGACATATGCAATTTTATTATTAAAAACATACTATCATATAAAAAAGAAACCAACTGCCATCATGTCTCTGAAAAAAACATAACATGAAAATGGACAAACTTCTGCCATCTGTCAATCTTCAATCAGAGGTGGCAGTTACATATTGTAGGGGACATCAAAAGGCAATAGGCCAGGAAAATAGCTCAGTGACACAAGCACCTGCCTGGTAAGTGCAAGGTCCTCAGTTGAATTCTCCCCATACCCCCCAAAAAAATGAATGAATGAAATGCCCCAGGCAATCATTTGGTAGATGATGGCCTATAAAAATGTGTTTGAAGACTCTCTCTTCAAGCTCTCTTAATCTGGTGGTGTGGCCTATAAAACAATCCTTATCCTTACCCACATACACTCAATGAAAGCTGAATAGCCTTTATTCAGATGAAGCCTATATTACAACTAAAGAAGAATAAAACTAATCAGATGGCACAAAAATTGTTTTATGCGGATCTTTTTTTTTAGTCCTTTGAATTAATTAGTCTAGTTTCTTACCCACTTGCTGTTTTTTTTTCTCTTATGTGGAATAAGATGCTATTTAATTTTGTACTTCTATAGCTAATTTTTTATGTATATGCTTTAATGAATTTTTTCTTTACAGTTAGTTTTGGACAATTTCATTTTTTTTGTATCTTGGTATAATTTTATTCATATTTCTTTTGCAAAAGTTTCATTTTTCTTAGAAATGTGGTGCTGTAAGTCCAACTAAATTCAGAAATTTTAAATCCTTAAATATTTATTGTTTATCCCTTTCTACTTTGAGAATTCTAATGATATGACTATAAGTTTCGTGATTTTGGCACACAGTGAACTATTATACGACTGATCTGTAAACTCTTCATTCTTGTTTTAGACAATTTTTATTGTTATATTCATTTAAGTTTGTAAATTATTTACAATGTGCCATCTATTATCAATCTCATGCTAGGTATTCATTTTGGAAATATTTCTCTAAAATTTACTCTTTCAACATCACATATCTTTTGCATTTCAGTATTTGTCTACAATTTTAATATGCTACACAATTATTTTTTTTAACATTTATTTATTTATTTATTGTGTGTGTGTGTGTGTGTGTGTGTGTGTGTGTGTGTGTGTGTGTGGCCAGCTCAGCCTACCAGGGGGTGGGCTGGCTGGCATGTGGTGCTGGGGATTGAACCGTGGTCCCTGATGCTTTACCAAGCTTGTTCCAAGTAGGTGCTTTAGACCACTGAGCCATCTCGCCAGCCCCTATGCTACACAATTATTGATTTTCAATAAAGTTAATGAGAAAAAAAGAATACATTTGGAAATTTAAAAAAATTTTCCTATGAAATGGACTCTGTTAAACTATGGGACTCACTCAACAGATAGTCAAGATCCGCAAAGCCTGTCCAAGTAATCATCTCACCAGGATTAGAGCTCCCCTGGCACACAGAGAAACAATAGATAACCTGGGAAAGACTGGGGACTTGACTTCACTCACATACCTTAAAATAAAGGGACTCAATATTTGTTAGTCTGGATGAGTATGTTTACCAACTTGGGTAAAGCTTTCCCTTGGAGGACAAAGAGACACAAAAAAAGTAAAATGTCTTAGCTTCAAATTTATTCCCATGCTTGGCCTCCTCAAGAGTACATGAAAAAACAGTGGTCCCTCTTCTGAATTATACAAGGTATTTCTCAAGCACTATGTGTTTTTTATCATCTTTATTGTGCTTAGAGGCCCCAATCATAAAAACAAACAAAAAAGCAAACAAAGAAATAAATGAATAAATACTCTAAAGAAATACCCGCAAACCTGGGCAAGAAAAACCTATCTTCTGAGCCTATTATTCAGTAAACTTTGATTAAAATAAGGAAGTAACTTGAAAGTCTAGGTCTGAGCCCTTTTAAAATATGTTAATGAATACTTGTAACTTATGATCTGCTGACTAAAAAAAAGGCCATAGTAACATGAGATATTACCTTGCTGGCCAAATTTCAACAACTAACAAAAAGCTCAGCTGCATGAGTGCCTGTCTGGCAAGTTCAAGGTCCTGAGTTTGATCCCTGGTACCAAAGGCCAACCTCAGGAAATAGAGCTTTCAATATTCCAGCCTGGAAACCTAATACTGATAAAAGCTCTCACATTTCTACATGCTTTTGTAGAGCTGACTTGGGAGAAGCCATATATGGTGATTCTTTCAATTCCCTGGGCAATAGCAAAAGAAACTACAAAAAGTATGCAAAGATATGGAAATTAAATTACATTCTTGTATAATAGGTCATAGAGGATATTAAGGAAATAAGGCAGTTCCTAAAATTAAATGTTAATACAAGTACAACATACTAGAACTTGCAAGACACAATGAAAATATAGTTTATAGTTATGACTGACCACATCAGAAAAATGGAATGAGCTCAGTAAATAACCTAATGACACATCTTAAGGTCCTGGTGAAACAACAACAATGCAAATCAAGAGCTTGTGCAGGGAGTGAATTATAGAGATTAAGTAAATATCAATGAAAAGGGTGCTGAAAAAAAAATAAAGAGGGGCTGGGGAGATGGCTCAGTGGAATAAGTGCTTCTCTGGCAAGCGCAGGAGCCTGAGTTCAATCCCTGGTTCAGCCAAAAATAAATAAATAAATAGCCACTCAAATTAAAGAAAGAACATCCTTAATACCAGAAATGACCACAAAATTTGAGTGTCCTGCTTAGGATTACAAGGATATCACAGCAAATTTGAGCAGAGAGGCTTGGTGTGGCAGAATGAAGCTGTATATCAGTTGCCCTGGATTGCTTCTTTGAGCACTGTCAGGCACACACAGCTACTGTAAGCTCCAGGCAGTAGAGGGCTAATCTTCTGTTTATTCCTGACCCCAAGCTCTGTATCCTGCTTGGCCCAGAAAATCAGCCTACATTTGCTGTTCATTTCCAAAAATGGAGAAAAAGGGCTGACCAGGTAACTCAGAAGACTAAAGCACCTGGTTAGGCAGATGCAGGAATGGGGGTTCAATCCCAGGCATGCTGTGCTAGCCCTGCCCTGGGGTGTGCTGAAAGGGCAACTGAGACTGGGCATGGTGATTTGTGGTGTAATCCTATTGTTTGGGAGGCTAAAAACAGGAGGGTCACTATGAGTCTAATCTGTGTAGTGAACTCCTGTAGACCCTGTATTTAATACATTTTTTTTAAAGTGGAGAGAAGATGCCTTGCCACTGTTTGAAGTCTCCCAGTGTTGGACATCTACACAGTATCAGAAACGGGAAGCCCTACACACAGGGCAGATCCTTCCCAGAATCCTAACTTGATTTACTGTGAGGCATGTGGCTCCTTCAGGAACTCCTTCAGCCTGTCCTTCCCTGACCTGAAGCAAAGAAAAAGGAGATAGGGAGAAAAATGAGGAGACACTCCCTACAGGAGAGGTAGCTGGTGAAGATAAGCACTACAGACTAAAAAGGACTCTAATTATATCTTGAACTTCTAGTTATTTTTATTTTTATTTTTAACCAGGGCACAGGACACTGGCAGCAGAAGAACGATATAGGGGAAGTGGGAGATGGTGATGGTATTCAGGAGAGGTGTATTTGATGATTTATGGCTGTGCAGGAAATATGTGATCATTTTCATTTCTACCCTTATTTGTGTAATCCTTTAAAGTCAAAAGTTTGGTAAAGCATAATGTTACTGTGAAGCAGTATTACAAAATTAAAAATCCTTTAAAACAATTATTTTAGTTTTGTTTATTAGAACATGTGTACAGTACATGTTTACATTGCTTGTAAGAAGTTGGCACATATATGTAACACATCTTAATTCCATTTTCCCTCTTTCCCTTTCTTCCCTTCCCACTCCACTATCTCTTGATCCTGCTCCTTTAATTTTATTTATACATGCTTGCAGAACATAATATTCACATGCCTTGTGTGGAGTTGCTACATGCAATTTACACATCCCAATTCACAGGCTCTTAGAGGGCATGGCTCCAAAGAAGCACATTATAGTAATATCCAGTCACCAACATCACAGGACTTTTCAGGGTCCTCACGCTCTACAACACTGTAGGTGCAGTTATCCTGATGGAAAACAGCATGGCACTTGGTTGTGTTGTAATTCACAGGAATAGTAATTCTGTAATGGAAATAAGACCAATGCCTGTTAGAAAGACAAGGTCACCAGCCACCCCACTCCACTGCTGAGTCCAACTCTGTACACAAAATCACTCACATTACTACAGGCTGGGCTCCCTGACTAATCTAGCATACCTAGGGTAGAAGCTTCAGGGACACTCCCCAGATATGTGGACCTGTCTTTAACTTACAATGACATAGAGTAGCATTTATGTGTCCCACACTATTCTCTGTCAGCACAGAAGGCAGGAGGCATGATAACAGACCCAGGTAAGGTGTCCAATTTACTGTAGCCAGGAAGCCTCATCCAGCCCAGTCCTTTTCACACTCACTGTTCAGGAAGTGTCCAAAACGGCAGATCCTGTAATGTGGGAAGGTAAGTCTGTCCCCACTAAGCATGGTAGCCTTTTACCACAGGAGCTAACATCACCAACAGGGGCAAAGGGCCGCTCAAGGCCAGGGCCACGTACCTCCAGGAGATAAGCAAACTGTAATCAGCTTCCTGAGAAAACTCATCCTTCTTTTAAAACTCATTGCCCCCTTTAGACACGTGGCTTTGGGTTTAAACTTCCCAAATGGACAAAAAACAGTCACCCAGGGAATCTTGGGCAATATGTTTCCTCTCAAAAGGTGATGCTAGACTTATCCTTTAACAAAAGAGGATATTTTGATCTCTTCCTCAGTCATCCAAAACAGTGTTCCTCCTCAGGGCTCATTCTGTGGACCCCTGGACACTGGCAGCCCTTGGTGATAAAGTGAGAGAGGAAGGAACACACCTGCTCACAGGGACACTGGGCACTGATCTAGAAACCAGTCTTAACAAACACTTTTTTAAACGCTGTCCTTTGGAGTGAAGCAAACTCTTGAATCTTGCCTTGAGCCCTGTTGCTTGGTTTAATTAAGCATGAACATAGTTTAAGTTGCACAACAAAACATTCTGAAGCGGGGCTGGGAAGATGACTTATGGAATAAGTGTTTCCCTGGCAAGTGCAAGGGCCTGAGTTCAATCCCCGGTTCCAAAAAAAAAAAAAAAAAAAAAAATTCTGAAGAGTTCTCATGAGATGGAATGACAATGGAGTTTAAAAATTAATCTGACAATTCAGAAAACAAAATGACAAGGTAAATCTCGATAACCTCTACCGCAAAATGTGTATAAAATATAAAGCAATAATGGTTAAGTTATCGATGATTATTACTTTTAGTGAGTGAACTATGTATAGTGGAATTTTTGGTGTACTTTGCCATTCATTTTCTAAAATGAATATGTTTTTTCACATATAATAAATTTCATTTAAATTTTTTTAAAATTTCAGAGGTACTGATTTGCAGGCAAAACATGAAACAGGACTGTCACTGAGGGAGACACAATAATCATTCCTCAAGCATTAAGCCATAGTTCCATGTTTCCAAGCAAATTCCATAACCATTGCAGTGTTCCAAAGGAAAGCTGAGACACAAACAATATATACAGCAGGCTTTCTCACTATAAACAAAAGTAGAGGCTCTCCAGTCCTCTACAACAGATAAACCAAGTGTAAAATGTTGGTTCCTCATGCTGGTGCTGTACTGTAAAGGACAGAAGCTCTAACATGTAGCATCAGGGCTAGACTTTGGGAAGCAGAGAGAAATAAGCCTAACCAGCAGTAGCACCAGGGTTTTCCACTGAGGTGAACATTCTAGAAGAGGCCAAATCACTAAGACAGAAAGTAGATTACAGAATCCCAGGGGTGGGCAGAAAAGAGGAAAGGCAATTATAGATTAAAGAATACACAACTTTGTTTGGGGCATGAAAATATAAAAGCCAGATATTATGAGGTGCACCATAATCCCAGGTATACAGAGGGTTAACAGAAAATGATTGATATTTCAAGGCCAGCATATTAAAAACATTTCTGGGATCAATTCGAAGTATTGCAAATCAATCAGAAGTGTATTATAAAGAATTTGGAAATAGTGGTTCTGGAGTAAAAACTAATGTGAATGTAATCTGTGAGATAATTTTAAAGGTCAATATGGGTAAATATAAATTTTCATGTGATGTTTTTCATATTCTACTCCATAGAATTGGAATATGTTGGGCTAGCCAGATAGCTCAGTGGATTAAAGAGCATGCTTAGGGAGACACAAGGACTGGGGTGCAATCCCCAGCATGCCCTGCCATGCTGGCCTCATTCTGGAGAGTGCTGAGATGGCGACTGAGACTGCATGGTGGTGGTTCGAGTCTGTAATCCCAGTGCTTGGGAGGCTGAAAACAGGAGGATCATTACCAGTCCAATCTGTGTAGTGAGACCCTATAGACCCTGTGCTAAATATGTTTAAAAAAGTAGAATATTTCTTCATATTTTATAGTAGAAAATAACTTAAAATAAAGTAGTGATCATGGAAGACCCACCCCTTCACATGTGTTTGGGAGGTACTGAACATGTATACTTCTGTCATCAGTATGTAGACTCAAGTTACTAAGACTCAGTTCCCATCACCACATTCAAATTTAATTCCACCCAGCATAGCATGGGACAGGAAACGGCCAAGGAATACTAAAGAGAGGGGACAAGGATATCAAGTGATCAGAGCCTTGAGCTGGATGGAGACTGGTTCACCTCGGTCCTGGGCTTCCCTATCTGGGGTAGAGCTGGGTGGGGTCAGGCCTGTGTGAATCAGAGGCCAGGACTCCTCCCTTCCCAGAAGCCTCAGCCTGCACCTGCAAAATCACTGAGCTCCTGGGTATATGGACAGTGTTTTACAGGAGGGTCATGGGCTCATAGTCTCCCAAAGAAGCTAAACAAACCATATATGATAGCAAATACAAGAAAAGATTGAAATATCATGAGAAGATATGTGGCAGAATGTGAAGCAGTTCCAGGGAAACAGGAGCTGTTTCTGACAATGGATATGTGAGTGTGTGTGCCCAGGATGGTCCTGCCTGCCTCATGGGACAGGCAACATGGCAGGAAGGAAGAAAAGGACATCTGGATCCCAGATTGTATACCACTTTTGGGGCTCAGGACCATAAACCCAAAAAAACTATTAGGCCCCTACATGATAACTAAATCAATGAGAAAAAAATATTTAATTCTCACATCATCTCTGATAACTTCAAGGTTACAGTAGGGGGAAAATGCTGAAGGAACTGAGAAACTCCCTAGTTACTACACAAAGGAAGGAGATTCAGAAGCAAGTGGCTCCAGTATTGAGGCTCATGTCTTCACTTCCGTGAGCAGGCCTCACTGTTGTCTGAGTTCTAAGAACCACAGAAAAATCTCCAATGAATATGCTAGGCTAACAAACCATTGGCAGATAGGACAGTGTAACCGCAAAGCAGGAGCACTTCCTTGTGATAAAAATGGTTGACCAACCCTGAACATGTTCAGACACAACTGTACTGTAGAATGCACCATCACTTGCTACGAAGACAAAGTCAAATATCAAAGCTACAAAATGAAGATGTAGCTATTACAAGCAGTGGTCTATCACTGCATTGTGTGTGTGGATGCAACAGGAATCTGCCCCAGTCAGCCAACAGACTCTCTTCCTGCATCAGTGTGCATAACTACAAGTTATCCCTATCAGTGTGGACAGAACTTTCCAGACACTTAAACTCCTATAGGACTCATGAGTGCTAATTAAGTCGCCTGCTCACTCACTCCTCTGCTCACCAGAGTTGGTATTCTACACCACATTTCAATATAACATCATACAAAGTTCAGTAGACTACTCTTAACAGTTCCAATACCTTGTGGAGCAGTAACATCAGACTCTCAGAGCAGTGCCAATTGTAGATGCAGAAAGCAGTGATGGGCAGAGGCTGGGTGCCAGGCAGAATGGAATAATACAGGAGTGCTGCATTTTAGTTATGCAAGATGGAAGGAGCGGGAAGAATGACGGGAATGCTGCACAACAATATGAATACTCTAAATGCCATTGATCTGTACAGGAACTAACCTCCTTCCATTTTTGATTTTGTTTTTTTTTATGGGGAGGGGTGGGAGGTTGTGGCCTGCTCAGCACACCCTGGGGGTGAGGCTTTCATGGCATGTGGTGTGGTGTGGGGCACTGAACCTCGGTCCCTACACATTTGCCTAAGCTTGCCTCAGCAGGCACTTAAGACCACTGAGCTATCTCACTGGCCCTAACCTCCCTCTCTTAATGTTAACTACAGTTAAGGTTGATGGAATCTTTTGAGTTTGGCTATATCTGCTACTAAACTGTACATAGATAAAGGAGCTAAGAGGTACTGCCTGGAACCGTGGCTGAGGATGTTTTTAATTTGGGATACTGTGCATATAAACAAAGACAGATGGGAAATGTCTATTTCTGCTCAACTTTTCTGTGAAACTAAAACTGCTTTACAAAATGAAATCTATTAGAAACACTGAGAGGATGTGATTTTGAAAGAGGAAAGTTACTCTTTTTAGAAAGCCTTGTCCTCTCTTGGTAGTTACTGGATTTAGACTTACATTGAGCAACATTTCATCCAAACTTCATTGCAAGTACAATTTTCACAATTCTTAGTCATCCATGTTGAGTTAATCGGGTGTGAAACTCCATCGCTATCCTTGCATTCTGAAAATATCCACAGAGCACCATTAGTGGGGTCCCCAGATGTTCAGGATGAATAAGACTTTGAGACTTCTCAGGCCAGTTTCTGCCTTGAGATGATAGACAATTTAGTTGATGTATGTGACAGTACTTCTTTACTGTCAGCTACAGTATAGTCCTGAGAAGTCCATGACACTATTAACATTTCCAAAGAAAATGACAATCATTCTAAATTTTATTTCAATGCAAACATTCCAAGAATAACTAAATCTATCCTTTTTAATCACATTGGGAGCTCATTCTCACCTGATGGAGTATCTGTAAATTAATTTCTCTCATATGAACATTTTTAGTTTGCTACTTTTTACTTTGGTCCCCAATTATGTAGACATCTGTGAATATCTTTGCGACTTTGTGAATAAAAAACATAAATAAACCAGATATAGGTCAGTGGAAAATTTTGTGCTCAGTATGTAAAAAAAAGAAAGCCCTGAGTTAAATCTCCAACACCAAAATAACCAAATATCAATGCTAAGATCCATCACAGAAAAATTAGGACCCACTTCCCAAATTATCCTACTGTTCAACAAAAGTAATAATATCTACTGAAATCCCCTAGTCCATGGTGTTTTACAGAACCAAAAATTTCAATATTACTTAAGCTGTCCTGACCTGAAACTGTCATGGGACTAGCAAGATAGCTTAGTGTTCTAAAATGCCTGCTTAAGCAAGCTTAAGTAAGTGCTCAGGGTCTGAGGTTCAGTACCTGGCAGCACATGCCACACCAGCCCCACCTCATGGTGAACTGAGCTGGCCACAAAAAAAGAAGGAAAAGAAAAAGAAAATGAAACTCTCACACCTGCCTTTGGTCCCCTAAATCAGCACATGAAGAATAAAGAAACCTCCAAAGCTTTTCATGCACATCAATGTGTAATGCCTCTTTAGACAAAGAACTGGTTCTCAACAAGGAATTATGTGGCAGTCAACTGTAGATCTGTTGAATGGAATGTGGAAGTCTGGAAATCAATTCTGATTCACCAGGTCTTAGATGGAGCTGGAGCACTGGTATTTTAAAATGTTCTCTAGGTCATTCTCAGCCAGAAAGAATTGAGAATAAGGGTCTTAAACACAGGACAAATTTAAGAACCCACTTTGACTCCTTTTGCATATCTTCCCTCATTCAGGAAGATATTTTTATCTGTCAGGAGGTCCTATGCATCAAGCTTCAGAATATGATCAACATTAAAAGCAAAGACTTACCAGTAGGGGGACCATTTTCACATGTGTACAGAAAAGTAGAGCAGTGAAAGGTGTTGCATGAAGCCACAAAGGTGGTCAGGATGAAGAGGCAGCCAAGGACAGCTCTCTATAACATAAAAAATGTCAGGGTGGAAAGTGAGCAATTTGGGTTGTCATTCTGGACTAAAGATCATACACAAGGCTCTCTGCTTGGACCCAGAACGTGGTTCTGAAAGTGGAGCTTCTACCTTCTAGTCCACCAACCAGAGAACAAGGCCTGCATCATTGCTGAGTAAACCAGGGGCAGAACTAAATGTGTCAAAATTCCTACAACTGCAGTAACAAGTGGGAAGCACTAGGGAGATATTTTAAGCTCTTTTACTATATCAGTGGAATTTAAAAAGAAGAGAAAGTGAGGCTTTCAAAACAAGAAAACACAGAAAAAGATGCAGAAGTAAAAAACAGAGAATTGAAAGCCTGGCTGGAAGTTAGGTCATTGGACATGTGACTAGGGGGGACAGGCTCTTGAGTGTCTCAGTAACTTCTCCATCTTTAAACCCAATATAAGACATCCACAATTCAAAAGAGGAGAGGTTGATTTTAGCTCACAGTTTGTAGAGTCTTGAGTCTTTCCATGTTTGGCAGCATGGTAAATATCCCAATGCAGAGAAGATCTGCCGATGTTAATTCTGGCCTGGAAGCAGAGTGCGAAAAAGAAAGGAGCTGGAAGGGTGATATACCCTTCCAAAATCACACCCTCAGGGGCCTTCCTCTTGTGACCAGACTCCACCTCCAAACAGCATGACAGCCATAATGGTCCTATCAACAAATCACCTTCCATAAGTTCAACATTTGAGGTCATTGGGTGGACTTCTAAATATAAATCATAACATTCCACTCTTGATCTCCAAAATACTGATGCACATTTCTTTATGCAAAATAAACTTAGCCCTCCATGATAAGTTATCAAATTCCTAAGTGTTTCAGCACTGCTGCAAAGTCCAACGTCAAATTTTCCTCTGACATATGAGGCAAACTCTTGCCTGCAAAAATGAAAACAAAGTTAAAATTTTTCCACCCACAGTGGTACTGGGTAAACATTCCTATTCCAAAAGGTAGAAATAGGGGAATAAAAAGGAATGGGGGAAAAGCAAGACTGGAATTTAACAGGCAAACATCAATTCCTGTGGGTGCATGTCCAGTATCTGGGGCAATCTGTGATGAAATGTGAACTCCAAAAGCATTTGAAAGCCCTGCTTCAGTGGCACTGCCAAGAGATTTAACCTTCATGGGCTCTCATGAACTGTATTTGCTCACTCTTTGAGACTTTCCTAAGATGATACAGGTTTCTGGATTTTACAACTCTGCAGGTTTCTGCTGTGCTTTTGCTTCAGCCTCACAGCTTCATGCACTGCCCTCTCAGGGGGACAATGTCTAGTCTTGTACACTTATTCTAAAATGTGAGTGAAACTTTCAGATCCCGCAACTCTTACATTTTGCATGTACCTAAAACCAACACCATGAAGATGATGTCAAAGCCTACTACCAATTAGAGAAAAAGATGACCACTCTTGAATCTTACTGGTGGTTGCACAAGCCTCTGAATGCCTGCATGGATGAAGATGGTGAACTGAATCCCAGGAAATCAATTTGCACTACCTAGACCTCAGGCATTCTGGAGCAGGGTGCCCTGATTCAATTTTGACCCTTTGAAGGAGAGGATTGTGCTGACTCCTATGATACCCTGAGTTCATCTTTTCCACTCTCCTGTTCCAAAGTACATAGCTTCATTTTTTTTCATGTTAACACTAATCTTTTAATTCTTATAATTTTTAATCTTATTTACTATTACATTTATTTTTCAGTATATAAAAGAATAAAATAAAATGTGCTTTCATTCATGGTAATCTGTGCATGGGCAAAGACTAAGAGATCCTTCAAGACATAGAGTAAAAGAGTAAAACAGAGAGGAGTTTAACATTAAGATCCAAGGTCCCTTTCAGGATTGCTGGACTCAGCCCTGAGTTTGTGGTGTATCTTGGGTTCCAAACCTGAAAAGATCACAGGATGGCTAGGTTAGTGCAAGTGAAGACCCGCTGTTCTAGGAGCAATGGCACAAATGGAACAGAGAGGGAAAAGATGGGGGAAGAGAAGGCAGGAATAAAAAAGGAGTGGAGTCAGCATACCTTGTCAATAAATAAGGATAAAAATCATAAACCCTGGTTTGAAACTGGCAGGAAAGCCATTGAACACTTGGAATAAGAGGCAACCCAGGATTTCCTTTTGGACTTTACTCTGTCCCCAGCACTAGTTGAAGATATGGGTTACGGTGCGTGTTTAAATTTTTAAAAATTCATTAAAATATAAAACATGTTGCCATTAAAATTCCTCAAAATCCTCCCCACACATTTCTTGTTTTTGCTACTTTCCAAAGCAGCTCTGAAAATCCTCTTTCTTTTTCAATTTAAGGGAAAAAGTAAAACAAAATGAACAATAGATTTTGGTTTCTATTTTATATTAAAAAGAAAAACAATAATAGTAAAATAGAATTTCAAAACAGGTTAGGAAGAGAGTTACAATAATTAATACATTGTGTGTTGTTGTCCTTGTAGTAATTATTCGGTATACAAGATACAGATATATCTTGTCCAAACAATATTATTTTTTCTTGTCTAAATAATATTAGTGCAAACTTTTATTCTCATTGAACTAACAGAAGGTAGCTGTATATATATATATATCCTAACTCTCTTGAGTATGTGTATACATTTATATATATATATATATTTTTTTTCTTTTCACAACAGAACAATCTTTTATTTACACTTTTGTGAAGTTAGTGACGCATGACACTCAGTTGCCTAACAACTGATAGCTAACCTTAACCAGATAGGATGTTCATCTCAGGAGTGAGGTATCCTGTTTGCTTTGGGCACTGGGCCAACAAACAATATTATTACAAAATTCCAGATGCACTAAGAGAAACTAGTTATATAATATCTTAAGTATGCCTTATCTATTTTTTTCTTTTTCCCTTTCTTCCTTTCCCCTTTCCCCATTACAATTTGTCTTTTCTTTTGAACAAATATTGTGACAAAGCAAGAAACTGTCGAAAAGGAAAGAGGAGCTAGGGTGGGGGAAGGCAAAAGAATGGAAAAGAAAAGGCAAAAAATGATTTTAAAATGGATAAAATGAAAACAAAGTGTAGTAAATAGGGAAGGATAGTGGAGCTTAAGGGAGTAAAGAGGATGGGGAAAAAAGGAAGTGAAACAAATCATATGAAAGCACAAATTCCCTGTGATGAATATGATCATTATGTATATCTGAAATGTACCAATACATTTAATTAAAAGAAATAAATACATAAAGCTGAGAGTTTATGATCTTACCAACTGAATGTTCCAGACAAGTGGTGTGTACATGCTAGCCCATCACAATAACTTGGGGTGTTCACCCTATTTTATCTGTGGATGATGGTATCCTATGACAGGTTTCTATGTTTTCATGTTTAATAAACAAAGAACTGGGTGTAGCATGTAGTGGTAAGAAGATAGCAGTTAAATCAAAAAATTTTAAAGGGAAAGATTCACTCAGAGTGGGGTCATGCTGGTTGAGAGAAAAATGACATAGGTGAAATAGTTGGGTATACAGATTTGAATATACACTAGGCTTAGCAACATCCTATTATCTTTCAGAGCATGATGATTGAAAGGGTGCTGTCATTTCAGTTGCATTAACTGCATGTCCTCTCCCATATTGTACTCTGTTATAGTTGGATACATGACATGTAGTCTAAGTGTATACACCTTTAATGAGTTCACAGTGAAGAAAAGTCATTGTAAACCAGGACAGCAACTCTTGCACACACGTGTCGCATTTTGGAATTGCAGAAATGTCCAGAGCTTCTGTAGTTTTTAGTCTGGTTTCTTTATAGAGGGTCTTAGAACAAGGATTAGCAGGAATGGCCTGGGGGCATTGACCATGTTCAAGTGAACGGTGGGCATTGGTCCAATAACCCTAGTTCTATTATCTATAGTACAATGTCAGTGCTGGTTGTATGTCTCTTGATTTTCCCTTGGTCTGGTTTTGCTTAATCTTTGTAGCTTTCCTCAGATGTTCCATATTCCTGGCTTCTCCAACTTCCTGTGTTCTCCACTGTACTTTCAGCTTATCTCTCACAGCTTCATGCAGTGCTCTAGTAGGCTATCTTGTCTCCCAGGCTTTCTTCTTAAACCTATGTGGAAACTCCATTACTGAAAACTCCCTGCTTTCTTTTTTTAATGCAAAAATTAAAATACATTTATTATACGAATAGTGGTGCTGTAAGGAAAAAATAACTCTTCTCCCCATTGATGGAAATGTACTGTTGTAACCACTGTGGAGATCAGTATGGAGGTTATTCAAAAAAACTAAGACTAGAGGTTCCCTGCTTTCTGTATGCACATAAAGCCAGCAAAATGTGGATGACACCAAGGTTTATGCCAATTTTAGCAGAAGTCAGAACTCTTTCAACATCACTGTAAAGGCTTCTGATTCCCAGGGTGGCTGAGTACTGTGAATGGAATGCCATAAAGTCCATTTTCTCTGCAGCCCTTCACAAGAATAGTGCCCTAATACTCTCTTTTCAAAGTAATTTTTCATTTTTTGCTTTTGAATCTACCAATGGTGGGGTCATTCCCTCTGTGCTCTCTGAAACTGTGTACTTGGCTTTATTTTCATTAATTTTGTTTTTTGCAGCCAAGGTCTCCTCTGCTCAATTTTACTGCTGCCTACTTACAGGACAACTACAACCTTTTAAATCATCCAGCTGTATTATTTACTCTGATTCTCAATGTACAACTGGCTAAAAAACCTCCCCAAGAACATGCAAACTATGGTGTAAACATTAGGCTGCCTTGAAAATGCCTTCGCCATATTAATTACTCCACTTAATTTCAGTCATAGATAATGTTTCAGGACATGAGAAAAATGACAAATTTTATGCCCAGGAGTAATGCATAGGCCTGGAGTACTTGTTTTCTCCTGAAACTTTTTCAGTCTGACTGGTACCACACATCACGCATAGTTTATAACATTCTATTGTTTCTCCAGCCAACATCCTTAAACTTTCCAAACTCTTCTCATGAACTATTTAAATATACTTTAAAATAAATGGTCAGGTAGTGTCATGCTACAACCCTACTTGTCTAGTACCAAAATCTGTTTTACTCATTTTATTCACTGCTGAGATATAATATGCACTATCTGCAACTTAAAAAACAAGTTTGTTTTGTTACTGTAGAGATTCTTGTCCTAGCATGAAAGGCAACATAACTTCCATTATTCAGTGCACACTGAATTGCAAGTAATACATACAAGATTCAGAATTAGGTTGCACTGATTTTCCAACACTGTCAAGAAGAAATACATCCCACGGTATATTAAAGTAAGGAATCCATAGGAACTTTTGTTTCCTTTCTTTCGTATGAAATCATTTATCTCTATAACTTATTGCTCTATATAGAGCAATGACTCTAGCCCTGAACTACACCTACCTCCAAGCCAGTTCCACTGTGACATGCAGAACTTTTCCACACAGTCACAACTAAGAGAAGTCATCCCATGAGTATTTATAGGAAAGAGTCAACACATACTCAACATTGTTCTGAAGGACCTCTCACCAAGGACACAGAGTATTTACAGAGGGTTTCAGATGGTTTATAAGTGATTTATCAACAAAATCTCCATTGAACTTGGACTTCTCACTGGCATGACAGCCAACATGTGTTTGTGATGGACCTGAGTAGGCAAAAGAAAAATAACTTCCCATCCTTGAGTCTTAACCCCAAAATAAGTTTATTACCAGGCACATGATGTATGTTCACTTGATTTCAATCTCAAAGAAACTGAGGCTCTGTAATCACTATTGAGTGCTGTATCTAAGTACATGAAGAGATAATAATAGCAAAACAGAGGAGTGTGCCTTTTTTCTCAGGCCTGGGATGAGGCCTAGAAGCATTTCCTGTAGGATTTATTAAGAAAGAGCAAGAATGCACCAAGTAGTGCAGCAAGGCAGGGGAGGGAGAAACCGACCAACCTAGGTTCCTCTTGACAAACTGTCACTCATATAACTTGAACTCTATAAACTCTTCTTAAATCTTCACTCTTCACTCCCTGAGTCATTTTCTTATTTACTCAGGATTGATCTCCTGAGTGGTAAATAGTATGGAGGTTTTCTGTAAAACTAAAATGAAAATACTGTATCATCTAGGTACTCTGCTTCTGGGTGTATATCCAAAAACATGAAACAG